ATCGTGACCGTACGTCGAGTGGTTAAGATTTGTGCCCAACTGTTGACTGAAGATCGGGCGACCGGACGCACGGACGGACGATCAAGCGATTCTACAAGCTGCATCTGACTATGTCAGATGAGCTAAAGACTCAGTCTATCACTAATTCTTTTAATTGCACTATTCAGTTATGGAAAGTAACTACAGTGCCTCGAATATGGTTGCAAGGTGGATTAAGCTAGATCAGTTTTGCCTACAACTACATCGTCACGGCAAAATGTCAACTTTACGGCACTTTGTTGCTGAACATTGTTCTTAGAATTTCCTATTGGAACAGTGATTGACTAGAGCTGCCTCTCAGTCGTGCCAAATGTATAGGTAATGTTTACAGATCAAGAATAACTGTGCCTCTGCAATGAAACTCACCTGGGCGATGCTATCATGGAAATGGTGCTCCGATTTGTAAATAGCTTGATAGAGCTCCACACAGGAACGCATACGACTGCAAACGATATTTTTAACAATGTATAATCTGCGTTGCTTTTGCAGCACATTTGTGCACACATTTGAAATTTTTGATTCTTAAATTAAAATCATGAACATTGGTGAACAGTAATGCCCCCACACGTTATAGTGATCCTCTACCTGCCATTGAGCAAACATCTTACTCTATTCATTGAAATTGACAGTTTATTGTATCCATTAATCCGTAGCACACTGTAATTGTACCTCTCAAACAACGATGGCAGGAAGTCGTGCAATTCAGTGTTGATTTCATCATACATCACCTTGGCATCGGTGAGCTGCGCCGCTGTCTGAAAGAACAAGAGAGCAGTTTAGAAAAGCATCGCCCCAAGGTTGCAACACATTCACGGAATCCGCAACAGCTTCAATCATATTATATCACCGCTGAGCAGTCACAGGTTATTATAAGCCGCGTTCACACGGAGCGTTCGTCCCGGGTCGAAAAAGATCCGAGACTGACCCGGATCGAAAATGACACGGAGCATCGTTCACACGACGCTATGCGAGCTGCCTGCTATGCGAGCTGCAAGCTGAGAAAAAAATACAATCCGTCCAAGCGAACAATCAAGCAAACAATGCGAATTAAACAATCAAACTCTGGCTTTCGACACTGGCGACGTCTACCGCCGTACTCATTCTGACCCGGGTCGTGTGCTGGTGCGCGTTCACACGGAAAAAATGAACCAGCGCTCAGGTTGTTTTTGACCCAGAGTGGGTGCGAAAACAACCCTGTCGCGCGAAATTTCTGACGTCTGCGAAATTCATGATATAGGATGCGTATGCGCATGCGTGCCGACCCGACCAATCACAGCTCGTCTTTGTGTTACGATAAGTTGTGTACACTTGGACGAACACAAACTGTGTTGTAATGTTTATTATTAGTTAGAGTTTAGAGTTGATAGGTAGAGATTGTAGTTGATATTCTGACCACAAACGACACGGAGCGTCGTTAAAGAGAGCGTTCACACGACCTTTGATCGATCAGTTCTTGGACATGCCTCTATGCTATACGAGCTGCCTGCTATACGAGCTGAGAAAAAAATACAATGTGTCCAAGCGAACAATCAAGCGAACAATGCGAATTAAACAATCAAATTCTGTCATATAATTTCGCAAGTCAGAAATTTCGCACTACACCGGGTCGAAACGACCCGAGTCGTTTTCGTACGGAGAAAACGTCCGTGTGAACGCTTGGCCCGGGACGCATTTGACATGGGTCGTTTTCAACCCGGGTCGTTTCGCTCCATGTGAAAGCGGCCATAGTATCTCTCTACGCATGCGTACTCCATGTGCCGCCTCCCTAACAAGAGAATCCATTAAATAATAGCTCCAGGTGCATTTCTAGCCAGACGCAAAACGCGAATAGAAACCACCGAATCAGGTCGGCACTCCCACCGAACGAAACCGTCATGTTTGCGCACTTTTTGCATTTTCGTTTCATCTCGCTTCTTTGACGCCTGGGTAGCATCGTAATTGTGCCTCGCGTTGTCATAGTCCAGTCTCTTTCTCTCTCGCTTGTCAATCTTGAGCTGAAATAACAGCGAAAATTAAGCATGGATACAGCGTTCCAAATAAGGCACGCAATTGTGCTCAGTGTGTCTGTATTTTATAAAATAGAGACCCCCCTAAATCCGCTCACATGCAAAATTTAGCGATCGGTCCCTTCCACTACTAATCCATGACTTTCAGTTTCTCAAATGAACTTTAGAATATATATGGCAGTATGGTGAGGATATGGTGACGATGTGCTATACAGGACGTAAAGGCGATTCCCTCAGCTTTCATTAGATTCTCAAAGGGGTCCCATGACTCAGAAAAGGTTAAGAACCACTGATATAGAGGCATGATTTTAACAGCAGTTCCTAAAACATATTGTTCACTCATTCAACTTAAACATGCACCTCCACGGCTTGATTTAGCACCTAAGATTTTAGGGGCTACTACATTTTTCACACTTTACTTAAAAAGTTACTCGTGGTTGCTGAGTATACAGAGACGAACACGCTGACCGATATTGGACTATTGAATGATGAGATGATTGACTATTGATTGAGAAGATGTCGTGTGAGATCACTGCAGCGCTAGAGTAGACAGGAAGGGAGAGCAGAACGGAGAGCGCGTCACGCGAGATCTCGTGAGTCGCGGGGTCGCGCGTGCGGAGACTCACCCGCGTCTCGGCGAACATGCTCTGGTACTTAGTGAGCGGCTCGAGCACGAGGTCGTTCAGACTGCTCTGGTAGGACTCCCACAGGAAGGAGTTGCTCTGGCAGGCGTAGGCGAGCGTGCCGTGGTCCACCCACTCCGGCTCGTGAACCTCCGCCAATGTCTCGTCCAGGGACTTGCTCGCTCCTTCCAGCACTGCAACAGTGGCAACACGTGGCAGGGGTAGAAATTAGTTTGAACATTTACAGGCCAGCCGGGCCTGTACGTAAGGGATTTTACAGGCCCGCCACGAAAGTTTTACAGGCCGGAGAAGGCTTTGCATGCTGGGGTGGATTTTCTACGGGCCCGTCGTTAGTATTAGAAATGTCAGGCCCGAGCCTTAAAATACAGGCATAGGATTAGGGTTACCTTAGGATTTTGACCCATGCGTGGTAGCGAGGGCCTACTGATGCATGCGACGCTGAGGGCCTACACCACGGGTGACCCAGATGGGAGGCGTGAGATGGATGGGGGGGGGGAATCTTGTCGAAAATGCAATTACGTTCTGTTACGCTACAAATAACAACTACTTGTATGAAGAATCCACATGTATGGAGAATTGGGGTGCAATGTGGTAGCGAGGACTTACTGAGGCGTGCGATGCACTGAGTGGCGTGGGTGCTACGCAGTGGCTACGCAGTGAAGTGGGTGGATGGGGGGGGGATCTTATCGGAAATGCATTAACATTCTGTTACGCTACAAATAACAACTACTTGTAGAAAGGAAGCACTCGGAGAATCGGAGCACACGTTGAAATAATGAATTTCGGTAGTGATACTCGTGCCGGTCTACGCAAGCATGTGCACACAATAATTTTTCAAATAGAGTTACTTAGTAGCACAACGTGGACATGAATACGACCATGACATGAATGAAATGCAATTACGTTCTGTTATGCTACAAAGTACAACTACTTGTACGAAGGATCCACATGGTGAATCGGCGAGCAATAATTCAAATAGTGCTACTGAGTAGCACAACATGGACAAGCCCGACGAGGCTGTACGACTGATTGTCTATGCAAAGTCTATACAAGGTCTTGTAATACAATAATTAGCAAGACCGTTTCTTGGAGCTAAACATGTACATGAATACGACCACACTTAAACCTGTATTTATATAACAGCTACTAAGGGTACAAATTGCGAAATCGGCCTTTATAGACAGTGGTTGTTCTATAGAGGTGGTTTCACTGTATATCTGCCACTGATTTGTTTCTATCTATCGCTGACGATTACCTTTTAATGCTTGCATGTATTTCTTCACTTCCTTGTGAAGTTTTCCTGCTGCCGCCTGCTGCTTACTGAAGTTATTCACATAAATCTCAAATTTCTCATCTTTTGTCTTGTCAGCTTTGCCAAGATTTTGCATCAACTGTGTGAATAAATAAAAAAAGATTAGTATTTGATGGAATATAAATCGAGACACATAAAAGGGGTTGTGCACCACAGTGTCAGTTAAGGTTTAATCAAGTTCATAAAAGCTATAGCAGTTACATAGATAACACAGATAGTACTGTAGTTCACAGCAGCTGAATCCAGGCTGTAATTTACATTTAAATGTTTTTTAATCCTGACTGTACAAGATTGCGAATACGATAGTAACAATAGTTTATAGCCTTGGGACTTATCGACGGTCACGGCTGGCAATTTTCTCTCCGACGCTGCTGTTGAACAGCAGTTGACCTGTGTATTATTGTGATGAATTATATTTCCCTGTGAACAGTGAACACTCAAGTGCTGCAAATCATGAGGTCGTGTAAGAAACGTGCCATATACTACAACGTCTAATATTAGTCATTCTTAGTACCACCTGCTTTCAGGAATGCAACTGGAGCGTGCATAAGACGTTAAAAAAGAAGATTCGTTAAACATTAGCCAGTAAAACGTGATATTAATTAATAAAAATTTGATTATTTAATTATAGGGCCTATTATATATTATTTTATTAATTATAGTAGGGTGTTATACATGGAGAGAAGAGCACAGCATTGTAAGAACAGCGCATGACAACCGCATCACACTCATAAACAGTGTTCTTTCCACAGGACACACACACACAAAATATTGTTTACACAGATTACAACAACTGTTTCAGGAAGTTTGCAAACACCACTACACCACCCTTCTACAGCAAACATTGGTTTCAACATAACTATTGCCGGCTGTGACTATAATGTGGGCATGGTTAGAAGAATGACCATGTTACTTGTCACAAGTTGCTGCCTAGCTATAAGTATAACATTCCTATGAACTTTACACTGTGTGGGGTTCTCACAAGTCACATGCCACTTAAATCTATCTTTACACTGAATAAGTATTATTATATTACCATTGATTTACACTTCTAAGGATGGAGCTATAGATAAACATTTTTTTGCAATTCATGCCCTTATTATATAAAAGTTATTGCAATATACAAAAATATTTTAAATGACCCCATTTCATGTGGTTAAGACCTATCTAGAACTCCCTCACTGCCTACGACTTTATGCCGACCAAAATTCTAAAGCAGTACGTTGTACAAACAAGACCCTTGACTGTGTGTCAGACTAAAATACTCAAAGAAAATCTCCCACTCTTCCCTCCCATTCACGCTAATCAGTATGTGGCACATTGCTGACACACCTGCCTGTGTGTGTAGGGGGGGGGGCAGGTGAAGTGGCACAGAACCAGCTCTTGTGGCCAGCCAGGTCAGCCTTAATCTGCCATCTTTTGTGATACTGGTCGTTGGCACCACATACAGAATGCAGGACATGTTTATCCTTGCCCATGACGCGTGCAGATGAGTTCTAACACAGCAGCCCTTTCAGACATTCGTATATTTTCGCTACACTGTTAGCAGGATGCATACCACAATTGCACAAATGCACACACACATAACCATGCACGCACGCACGCACGCACGCACAAACAAACAGACCTTAGGCATTAACCTTGAGTTACTTGTTTATGACTGATGAAAATTAGCCTTTACTTTAATTAGTTTTTAGCATTGGCATTACCAATTTAAAACAACAATGGGTAACGTTATCGACAGAGCACGAAATTCAGATTTTTTTTGCACCGGCCCAGAGGGCTGGTAACAGAAATTTTTTTACCAGCCCTCACAAATTTTGTTTGAAAATCAATGACACGTTTCACGCTTGCATTCTCGATTTCAAATTTGTCAAATGTTGCTCAATTATGGCATGATATTGATATCCTTCAGATAAAACAGTAATATAGGCTATTTGCTATAGGCTATAGGTAAATAAAAATGTAGGTACTCGCTAACACGGCTGAAACTACCGGATCGGAGAGCCAGTGTTTTGCCAATGTTACCGGCCCTCCAAATACTGTGCCGGTGGGCCGGTGCTAATTTCGCGCCCTGTATCAATAAATATATGATTAACCCACGATATTTAATAAAATAAATAGTAAACATATAACTAGAAAATTACTCCATAACACCATAACACAGCTACCATGTTTTTTAAATGTCAAATAATGACTTTTGCATACCACAATTTTAAAAGCTATCTTAAAAAGTTTTGCAGATGTATATATGACCTTTTTGTCCATTTTAAACATTTGTGACACATTATGCACAAAGAACTACAATTATGCCTACAATAATGTTTATAATGGGACTTTATGAAGGGTGCTATTTATGTAGACTAGTGATAACCTGTGTTAATTCACCTTCAAACTTTTAACTGCAATATTTAATGTAAATACTTTAATGCTACTATACATTCATGAGCTCTGTTAAATTATTTCCATTTAACTTTTTTATAGAATGGCACTAACAATACCTTTTCACAGCACATTCAGCATACTCATAAACCTATAGCATGACATGCATCAGATCATTTCATTATATTATTATTTAAAAGGGCTAGATGCATTACACCACTAAATATGTCGAAATTTGACTTTGTGGTGGCCAAAACAGATTGTTTCATAACGATTATGTTCTTTCTAATACTAATAGGTGCTTAATGACCGACTCTCTGTGTAACAAGGTTACTGAGAAACTGCAAAACGACCCAGCTGTACATGTATGTGGTGTTCATTGTTTCCCCTGGCCTAAAATCTCTGTGAAGCAGTAAATTTTTTTTGGGTGTGTTTGCACGTTTCGAGGTCCTAGCAAAGCGAGCACTGCAGGTAGCTAGGGGGTCCAGGGGCATGCCCTCCAAGAATAAAAAAAAAAAAGTGCAATTTGGTGCATTATAAGCACTGTTCTAAGGAAGAACATTGATTTTTGTCAGCGAGGCGGTGTTTTGGACAAATTTCTGTGTGGCGGCTGAGAATTTGAACGAGGCGGCCCGCCTCGCTCGTGTCATGCAGGGGAAACACTGACATTGTCTGGGAAAGATTGTGTCATGAGACTGGCCATTCAAGAATTCACAACTTGCAATGCATACACGTGCTCCTAAAGCTTTCTTACATTGATCTTTTGTGCTGGTTACTTCTGGCTGGTAGGTTCAATGCAGCAAATAATTCATAAATACACTAATAAATGGCATAAGCTATTTCTACACACATCTTACATTAATAGCTCATTTCATGACATTCAGCCCTAGACAACCAAAAGAGCAACAAATAGACTTGAGTGCATATGGATTGGGGGAATTGTTGAAAACAAAAGTAAGTGAACAGTGCCTCTCTATCCAGCTATGTTTATTGATAACTTTTTTTCTGAAACGTGCAAGAGATGAGATTCCCCGCCTCAAAACTTTTTAGGATCAAATGACACGGCCTCTGGACTCGAGCTTGTGGGGGATTCCATTTATACTCATGCAAGAGCATGCTTGGATCACACTAGTTTTAGTTAGCTATAAATGCACTTTATTTTCAAAGAAGATTTATGGGTGACAACCTAGCTACCTATACGATGTCTAGATACTATCTTCCCTCTCCTATTGCTACTAGAAAGGAGTAAGTGTGCAGAATGTCACCTCCTTCTCGGGCGACCTTCCGAAAGTTTGGATTGATCTCACTAAATAACATGTCTAGGACACACTAGCGACCGAGTGAGTTTGATATATATTGATAGACACTGATTAGGTAAATGAGATTAAATTAATAAGCTTGTTTTATTTAGCACCATCAAATAATCTCATAAATACACAAATTTACAATAATGACCCTATTCCAGTAGTAGTAGTACGTACTAGTACGGAGTAGTACTAGTAGTATTACGTACAGTCAGTACTTACGTGGGCTCACCCGACACTGCTTATCTTTAAATATGGAATGACTGCCACTTGCCAGTATTTATTTAAGGCTATAACATTACTATATTCGACTATAGCACGACGTGTGACTGTCAAGACTGCGTTGCGGGGCGCCTATGCAGCCTTTAACTTTAGTTTATGAACACAAGCACTTGCGCAGATAGGGTCGTTGTCGTATCAGGTACTACAGATATGTACCCGAGGTAGTTTTAGGTTGTTTAGTATTATGTTTATATTTTTATATAATTAGGAGGTAGTTTTAGGTTGTTTAGTATTATGTTTATATTTTTATATGAGGTACCGGTACCGTATGTTTAGGGTTACGGTTACTTGTTAGGGTTAGTGTTAGGGTTAGGGTACACTCTCATATATACCTCATATACATCTCATATACACATATACATTCTTATACACACTACGGTAGGCGCAGAACGGGGTTGCTATTTATCGAACCCCGGCTACACTCTTATACACACTACGGTAGGCGCAGAACGGGGTTGCTATTTATCGAACCCCGACCAGCCAGTCGCAAGTGCCTGTGGCTGTGTTTATGAATGATGATATTGATGGGACTGGCAATTGCGTTTCCAGATATGAAAGTAATTTCTACAAAACACGAAGTGCCTTTACTGCACAACATAAACATTGAATAAATTATTTGAGAGTTAATATTTATGCGCATATTGTTACCTTTTCCTTTGCCCTACTTGCACGTTTTTGGACGGATTTAGAGAAAAATCCGCCTCCGGATTTCTCTTTTGCTTCCGCCATTTCAAGAAGTTTTGTAGCGACCTCTACATTTACACAGCAGAACTAAATTACTGCGCTGTAGAAACCAAAGATCGTATAGCGCCAGAGGATCTTTGGTAGAAACGTAAGATGATTGAGGGGGTCCATGCCTCCCCTCTGGCATCCGGAATACTCTCTAATTTTCAGTGGCATCTGGAATACTCCATAATTTTGGGCTGGCATCTGGAAAACTATTTAACCTGCAGCCAGCACCCGAATAATACATAAGCAAACAGTAACCAATAGTCCAATACACAACATTTATTAACCTTTATTCATGCACACTATTTATTAGGTGAGCAATAAATACACCTTAATGTCATGCTTGTTAGAGGCAAATAATTAAAGAAAAGGTACAGACTTTATGCTGAATTTATGCTGTTGAATTTGATTTGCCTTCCTGTCCTGCTTCTGGGTTGTGTGATGCTACTACTGGTAGTAGGCCTACATATATTTGCGGCCTCTTCATCACTGGTACTGGTCTCTCAGCTGAACTCTGCAACTCCCATAGAGGTGACCCACTTTTTGACGCCATACTCGCAAGGGCGCAAATCCAGGGGGGACAGGGGGACATGTCCCCCCCACGAATTTTTAGAGGGGGGACATCATATCAAATGTCCCCCCCCCCAATTTTTAGAGGGGGGACATCATATCAAATGTCCCCCCCCACGATTTTGGATCACAATGAATTTGTGTGTAAGTATGCGTGTGTGTGTGTGTGTGTGTGCGGGTGTGTGTGTGCGCGCGCGG